TTAAATTCATGAGATTGTATATAAAGGCAGTATATGTTAGATCATAATACAGTTCAACAAATATGTCAGAGGGTTATACATTTCAATGCATTCCCTGATAAAATTTTAAGGGACTGCCATTTTGAATGAACATAGCAGAATTTGGGAGCTGGCCATTTTCCTGTAAAAAAGAAGTCAATATCAAAGTTTAAGAATATTTTCAAGTATAATTTATTTCATGTGCAATTTGTTTGCAAACATTTATATTAACCTCAACCATGTATAGCGACCTCTTTTACAAATACTACCATCAAAGAACACAAATGTTTCTGCTGGTTTTTGCATGTGTCTATTTCTGTTCTGCATGTGCTTCATACTATTTTAATGAGACTTTTGATAAAACAACATCTTGAGCCTCCAGCCACAAAGCACTTCTATTATAGATAGCAATTATACATTGTTTTAAGCTGACCATAAACATGCCTGTTTAGTGCATAAAGCATATGGCCTTGTAGTATATAGATCAGTAGGAACTAATTAGTTTAAAAGATACATATATGCTAGGGAGATGCCAAAATGGGAGTTTGTGACAAATTTAAAAGAGCAGCAGGTTTAATTTCAAATCTTTTCTGTAACATTTCTCTGAGACTGAATTAATATTAGCCAATCTCAATATTTTTATTATTTTTCCAGCCAGTTGTTTATTATTATGCTGCTGCTGTTTCAAATACATTTTATTAGTTTCTTAATGCAATAATCATGTACATTTATAAAAATGAATATAATAGATACTGTTGTTTTATTAGAAAAGAATAGCAAATATAGTTTCAGAAAAAAATATATGGAGGGTTTTCTATGCCTTATTTTCCATGTAATAAGAGAAAAGTTCTTGTCCTGCCAGAAATAGAAAGTTGTTATGTCAGTTTTCAAAAACCTAATCTGCCTAAATGAAGGAAAGTGTATGAGCCATTCGTTACTGATTGGGAGGAAAAACTTCAGACTTCATCCCTTCACTTTTTGTTGCATGAATTCAGATTTGACACACTGACAGAAATTTATTCAGAGATCCTGAAAGATGTTTGAAGTCCCCAAAATACATTGATACATACATTTTCAGCCCTTTTTATCTTATCTGTCTTTTCCTTTCATAATTTTTTTTTACTTTCATGATTGTGGGATTATTTGTGGTTGATGCATAATCTGTTTGCAAACATTTATATAAATCTACTAACCTGCACCATGTTAAGTAACGTTTTCTGAAGACATTATCATCAAGGAACATAACCGTCTTTGCTTTCAAATTTTTCATTCTTTTAACTTTTTTGTATCTTAAGTGATAAAATAATAACATTGTGTATTGGAGTAGTTACCAAAATAAATATTTTGTGTTTGGTTTAGCCTTCTGAACTGTACATTTGCAATATAGCATATATTCAATATAGCATTTACTTTCACATCCTTATAAGGATGACACATGATTATTAATATTACTACATTTAAGATATTGTAAATTTATTATTTATGCAGTGCTTGTGTAAACTAATAAATCCCATGGTTTCTTTTGTATTACTTGTTCCCTCAGCAAGCTTATTATTTGCTATGAACCTAGGGGCTTTGTGAGTATTACTAGCTTTACTATGCTAAATCATGACACTTTTAGTCTTGTTCCTTCTCCCAGTTCATTTATTATGTGAAAAGAGCTCTTTTTACCTTTCTGTATCTCCTTCTACTTTCTCTTTTCCTCCTCCATTTTCCTAATTCCCCACACATTCTTCTCTTTCATGGTATCAATATATGGATACTTTGTGATACCAGATACCCAGGAAGATGGGCAGAGCCAAACACGATATGTACTGTCACCTGAAATATGCCAGAGGTTTTCAATATACAACAGACAGCTTAAAGCTATCAATTTTGCTAAGTAGAGGCTAATGTTTTGATAATGGAAACTGGATTTAATCCATTTTTGCCTAGAACTTCACTGAAAATCATTGTGACTCAAACTATCTATGAGTATACTTACTCATGATTAGCCCACGGAGAATACCTTGTATTCAGTTCAGACAGCTAGCTTTAGTTAAATTAAAATAAGAATTTAGAAAATCCTTTCATTTCTTCAGCTAAAATATGTGGAATTTTTGTTAGAACAGAAAATAATGAAATACCCAGTCTTCCACTGCAATGCATAGTTTCCTCAAGTTAGAGAGTTTGCTCTGCAATTTAATAATAGAATCAAACTTTCCAGTTATACCAACTTCCCCATGGACTACAAGTACCTAAGTTAGAGACCAATGACAAATAAAGTCCTCCTTCACTCTAAAAAGTCCATGGTTATTAATACCATAAATCTTATTCCTCCTATAGTAATCTTTCTGCATTACCACAGCTTTTTGTGCCTATATTAAAGATGATACTTTAATTTTCAATACACAAGATGTGAGTAGCCTTTAACCCACTCAAAATTCCTAATAACTGCTTTTCTCCAATTTTAGTGTAGATAAATGTAATATAATGCACCTGGAGAATAAACAATAATAATAAATATATAAGCAAATAAAAAAAAAGGCAACCCTAAACTTCAAATTTAAAATCATAGGGTTTGGGTTTGCCACTTCCATTCAGGAGTGAAATTTTGTGTCTATGAAATATGAATTTCTGGAAAAGTCAGCCTGAAGCACTGTACTAGTCAAAATGACAAAATAAAGTTGCAAGTTATTAGGAAAGAAAAACATAACAAAGCAGAGCACATCATTATGCCACCATAGAAGTTCACTGTTTGTCAGTTTCTTGAATACTGTGTGCGGTTCTTCTCCCTTCACAAAAAAAATCTAACAGAACTGAAAGGTTCAGGAAAAGCCAGCAAGGGAGATAAAAAATATTAATCTTCTTTCATATAAGCAATGATTAACTAAATTAAGGTTTCTCAGTCTAGAAGACAGTCAGCTAATGGAGAATATGACTGAAATTTAGAACATTATAAGGATCTTGGTATGGTAAGGCTCAATTGCTCATTTTCTCTTTCAATAGAATAACTAGGGAGTACTAAATGAAAGAAATGAAGGAAACATTGCAAATGAAGCAACAGGAGCCAGGTTCAAACAAACAGAGGGACATAGACCTTCATATGCAGCTAGTAATAGGCCAAATTTGTTGTGAAAATGTATCATAGATGCAACATGAGTTCAAAGGAAGATTCAACTAGTTCATGGAAGATAGAGTCCCTGAGAATTATAAAATATGTGGAAAAGACATCCACCTCAGAACATCCCTCATCTGAAAGTTGGATATTGGGGGAGTATTAAGAGGAATTCCTATATATTTGAAAACTTTCTTACGGCTTTCTCCCTAGACATTGACTTATGGTCACAGTTGGAGGCATATTTTGTCAAGCTAGATGAACTTCCTTATTCACTTCTTCTCATAAGCAGGTCTATTGTCCATTAGATCATCAGCCATGTCAAATAAGAGTTCTGGATCACCAGTTGAGATACTGCAGTGTGTAATGCCTTTCACTGGACCTGGATAGATTCATTTCATGACTGACACCTAAAATCAGACGCAGGAGTCTTCTGTCTGTATGTACCAGCTATTAATATTTTAGATGTCATGGAAAACATGCATTATCTGCAAAAGGCTGACAGACTGATGGACATTCACACATTCTTCAGCAGCCACTGAAGTCCAGATAAATAGCTGAGAGTCCTTAAAGGAATCTAGCTGCCTGTGTAGGCAACAGCAAAGCAGTTTGCATACATTTGCGTATAGGTGTCTGTGAGGGAGGTACCTCCTCATAGACTTTGGCAACTAATTTCTCCTGCTTTCTGGCCTTCAGCTGCTTCTCTGAAAATGATTGGGCCTCACAGATAGATGTTCTATAAGACCTAGAAATCTGCCACACTGTACAGATATGCTGCCATATGCAATTAAAACCTACTCTAATTTGATAGTCAACAGAATGTAAGGTTCAACATCTAGAGATAATACTCATTTGCTTAAACATAAACATTGAGAGTTTGATTGACTTCTGATGCCTTAGGGTATGTGAAATATCTACATAGGTCTGGCAGATATGGCAAAAAAACTGCACAAGTGTTGCACTTTTCTGGGCTGACATCAGCAAGATCACAGGATCACAGAATCATTCAGGTGGGAGCAGACCTCGAGAGATTTCTAGTCCAACCTCCAGCTCAAACTATGAGGTTAGACCAGGTTGCTTAGTCCAATGGGATCTTAGAAACATAGAGGGTGATTTACAGCATGTCAATCAGTGTACATACAGGCAAGTGAATCACTTAACATTTACAACTTATAGCCCTCTTCCTTGGAAATGTAAAAGAATATGCTTTCAGATGTATGCACTAAGCATCTGTTTTGGTAACTACTGATTATAGTTTTTATGCCAATTTTAAAGATAGTTACATTATCTGGATTATTAATCCTTAATTTTGCCAATAATACATCAAAACAATAGATTCCAAAGTTGCAGAAGCAAGTTGTCCTGTTTTTGGTTTTGGTTTGGTTTGGGTTTTGTTAGGTTTGTTGGTTTTGTTAGTTTTGTTTTGTTTTGGCTTGTTTTGGTTTGGTTTTAAAAATTAGGGATGTTCCTGGAAAGTTTTACATAAAATACTGTAGAACATTGTTATGTTATATGACTGCACATTCAAGATAGTTGCAGAGATGCCTTCTGGGTCCTTCCAGTGTTATGTTGGAAACCATTAAAAATAGATTGGCTGTAGTCTACAAGAGAATACTTAATATTCTTCGTCTTCAATAAAAGAGTAGTAAGATTGTAGTTTTAAGGGGTGGTTAAACAGTGATCTATAAGTTTCCTATAGTCTTTTAAAAATCAATTAAATATTTATTTTTCTGTCTCTCCTCCAAAAAAATTAGCCCTTCAAACCCCTGTATTGTGTAATGAAGTGATATACTTTTGACATCTGTTTTGTGATCTTCTCTCATTGCATGGTATTGCTTTTTTAGGAATTTCTAACATTTTTGATTCACAATCATTTCATTCACAGATATTGGCTGACCTAGAAAACCATGCACTTTTTAAAGATGACCTAGAATGCCAGAAGCTTATTCTGGAAGCCATGAAATACCATCTTTTACCAGAGAGAAGAACTCTCATGCAAAGTCCAAGAACTAAACCTAGAAAATCTACAGTTGGGACACTTTATGCTGTTGGAGGAATGGATAACAACAAAGGTATTAGAGGATATTTGGTACTTTATAAATGTTATGTTTTGCATTTTGTTTATTAGAAAATAGTAAAATATCTTTCTATTCCAAGACTGGTGTGTGAGCATCTAAGTGTGACTGTCTAAGTGTGTCTAAGTCAGTCAAAAAATGCTGCCAAAAATGTTTGTGCAATGAAAATCTAGTGATATTTAAGGAAAAATACAATACTGTTAGAGAAAATAAACTAACTTTTGAGTTCATTCTTTGTTCAAAATTATTATAATTTCCAAAAGGAATTATAACAAAAAAGTGACATTAATTTACCTTAGTTTTAGCTTTCTAGAAATTATGTTTCATTTATAAGTATGTCAAATATGTATCCACGTTTTCTAATCAATGAAAAAAGGCAGTTTAATATGCAGTGTATTCCATCCTTAAGTAGTTGTCTGACATATAGAAGTTTCATATTCTTCTGATGCAGTAATTCATTGATCGTCTAGAGAAAAAAAGTAACTAGTAGCTTAAACTAGATTATTAGTTTTCCAATAGCAAAAAGGGCATGAAATTGTCCCCATCTTACTATGAAGAGTAGGAAGAAGTGGAAATTTTATTAAAGTATTTTGTTGTTATTTGTTGGGAATTAGAATTACGATGATGTTTTTATTCCTGCTAAGAAGTCTAATCCACTGAGTTCTTGAATGGAATGAAGTAAAATATTTGAGCTAATAGCTAGCTATGCTATAAAACTATATACCCGGAAAGGCTTTTATTATTACTTTTTCTTGAAATTCTCTAACAATTCCACAGTATCTTACATTTTCCTGTCCATATTTAGACTGAAAAATATGCCTTCAGAAACATTAGTTCTAATATAAAATAAACTGTACTTTTTAAAAAGTGTAATATAAATTTAGATCTCAGTATTTCACAACTCATTTGCTAGTTGTAGTTATAGCAGTTACTTTAATAAATACCTGTGGCTGTATCATCTGCAAAAGGACATTGCATGTTTTTTTCCATGAATTTACACCAATGAGAAAGGCATATGACATCTGTGCTTGTGTGAAAAAGAAATTTTGAAATAATAGAAAAATGTTGAGGAAATAACCAAGAGGTATATTTTCTTATTATAGCTGTGGATTACTTTTGTCTTTGTAACTTTTATTTTTTTTTTGTATCTATATTTAGTTTGCGTAGCTAAATGTTAGGCATGGATATAGAGAACAGAGAGGCTGGTGGCTCATGGCTTAGACTGATGTACTCTTCACTGGGTAAAAAACTGGCTGGGTGGCCTAGCCCAGAGGATTGTGGTGAACAGAGATAAAACCAGTTGGCAGCTGGTCACAAGGGCATTCCCCAGGGCTCAGTTTTGGGGCCAGCTGTGTTTCATATCTTAATCAATGACCTGGACGAGGGGATTGAGTGCATCCTCAGTAAGTTTGCAGATGACACCAAACTGGCTGGTAGTGTTGATCTGCTCATGGAAGGCTCTGCAAAGGGATCTAGACAGGCTGGATCGATGGGTCGAGGCCAACTGTATGAGGTTTAACAAGGCCAAGAGCCAAGTCCTTCACCTTGGTCGCAACAACCCCATGCAATGCTACACACTTGGGGAAGAGTGGCTGGAAAGCTGCATGGCAGAAAGGGACCTGGGGGTACTGGTTGACAGTTGGCTGAATATGAGCCAGCAGGGTGCCCAGGTGGCCAAGAAGGCCAACAGCATCCTGGCTTGTGTCAGAAATAGCATGGCCAGCAGGAGTAGGGAAGTGATCATGCCCCTGTACTCTGCCCTGGCGAGGCTGCACCTCGAATACTGTGTTCAGTTTTGGGCCCCTCACTACAAGAAAGACACTGAGGTGCTGGAGCGTGTCCAGAGAAGGGCAACGAAGCTGGTGAAGAGTCTGGAGCACAAGTCTTATGAGGAGTGGCTGAGGGAACTGGGGTTATTTAGTCTGGAGAAGAGGAGGCTGAAGGGTGACCTTATCGCCCTCTACAACTGCCTGAAAGGAGGTTGTAGTGAGGTGGGTGTTGGTCTCTTCTCCCAAGTAACAAGCAATAGGACGAGAGGAAATGGCCTCAAGTTGCATCAGGGGACCTGAGGATTGGATATTAGTAAAAATTTCTTTACTGACAGAGTGGTCAAACATTGGAACAGGCTGCCCAGAGAGGTGGTGGAGTCACCATCCCTGGAGGTGTTTAAAAAACTTGTAGACCTGGCACTTTGGGACATGGTTTAGTAGGCATGGTGGTGTTGGGTTGATGGTTGGACTTTATGATCTTGGAGGTCTTTTTCAACCTTAATGAATCTATGATTCTGTGATCTTATGATTTACATAGAACAATGCCTTTGGATCATAAAATACCTGAAATTCAAATTTCCTCTTACTTAGGACAAATGGCGATAAACACTTTAAGTATTCAGGTAGTGGAAATGACCATAAACCCAGTGTAGGTGCAGCTGTATTTGTTCTAACTTGCTGTACAGACTGGTTCCTGGTTCACACTGCAAATCAATTACAGAAATATTTAGGAAGACAGCACAGAGTGTAACACCATCATAGCATCAACATGCAGGCTATTTTGCAGATTCAGGTCAGGCAGAAGCAGTTTATTTCAGCCTTCTGTCAATATGAACTCTGACTGAAAACAAAAGTACCAGGGCTTATATACATTTACTGCAGATAAAAACTGCTTTGAGAGGGGGCCTGGTATGGCAGAGCAGCATCTATGTGGTCCTAGGAGCCTTTGTTACAACTGATGTAACACATATTCCCAGTAACTCCGGATCTGCAGCCATGCGGCCTTGACTTGCATCTGCTCAGGTCATGCCTCTTGTGATGCTGCTGTGTCCTTTTCTAGCTTTTAGGACCAGCAAGGCTTGCTTCCACATGGCAGTTCAGGGGACCTGAGTGCTGTTTGCCTGTTCTGAAGTGTCACTGTGGGTTCATAAAGCATGCCTCAATATTTGGACTGTGAGATGATGCTGATGCTGTATTATTTCTCCTCAATAATTAATATTTTTTTCCACACCTTTCTCCACTGAAATGCTGACGTGGATGATTGCAATTCAAATTAATGCATTTTTAATGTCTCCTGGAGTTTGCTACCAAATATGAAAGAGTTATGTATAAGAACTAGATGAGCTAAGCAAATTAGCAATTTATTAGCTAGCATATAAAACAGTGGATAAGTGCTAGTATTATGAAAGTATTTGAAGGTTATGTGGCCCATCACATAAAAAGTAGCCTAGCATGCTAAATCAAGTTTGTTTTGAAATCTCTTCTATAGTTTTCTTTTCCTTTCCATAAAAAAAGAGGTGGTAATTAAACTCCAGCAGCCAGTGATTGGAATTATGCCTGACATGTGAAAAGTTAATGTGGCATAATACTAACTGAGTAGAATTTAAAGGAACAAAGTTGGATCATTTTGTAATTTTCATGATCTCTCATGAGGTGTTCTAACTTGTCTCACTACCTAGCAGGTGGAATTATAAAGGACAAGGAGAATCTACAGAAAAAGAAAACTAATCAAAACAAAAGTGTCAGGGTACCCATGACCCAACAACACTGGTATATATTACTTTGGGAATAGTCATAGATTAGGTCATCAAAGTGCTAGATTAGTTCACTATTTACTGGATCACAGTCTTTAAGTAAATACAATGGAAAAAGAAAAGAAAAATTACCTGAGAAAGAATGTGACATAAAAATGCTACAGGTCATTAACAAAGACAGGGAAAAGTTGATTTACTGAAACACTGATATTAAAGGTGTGTTTTTCATTAATCTTGTCATTAGATATAAAACAAAAATTGCTCAGATGGTAAATAGGTGAAATGCATCATTAGTCTATATCAAGCAATATTAAAACTCCTTTCATTATTATTTAGGTATTTTTAGAAAGATCTTTTATATCATTAAAAATGAATCTTTTGAAATGTGAAAATGTGAGGTCTCCAGTTATTGTTCTTTATATTTCCATGTTGCATATTTTGCCTTTTATTTAGTGGTTTTCAATCATTCATAATAATCCTGTTTTCTTTACAAGTATCATTTATCAAATGTGGTTTATTACTTACATATAATTATTTCACAGGAATGTCATCTAACATGGCTACAGGAAATTACTCCTTGCCCCGGTGAACTATGAAAATGTCTTTGTTTTTCTGAGTTGTTTTTTTTTTTTTTTTATTTTCTAGCAAGACATTTCTCACAGCATACTTCACTTGAGCCTCATTTATTTTAATTTTATATTTTTCATTCTCATATAGGCATATTTAAATACTGAAAGAAATACTGGACAACCTATTGTAAATACTGTAAATAAAGGCATAAATAGGGAAAGGTCTTGTTTTTCCTCTTAGGTAATTCTTCTTGCTTTTTAAGATATCTGTCTGCAATGTCTATAATTTGAAAATCTATCTATCTCCTTCATCTTCCATTTAGTAGGAAGATTGTTTTTGTGGAATTTTGCAAGTTGTGGAAATTACTGCAAACCACTTTGTCTTCACACACATAAAACATTTGACAATATTAATTATCTACTAATTTGATGTACATAACTCTCCTGAGAAAACATCCTATCCTCATCTTACATTTTCATTCAAAATGTACAATATACAGTAATTGAGCTCGATTTTCAGAATGTGAGTGCTTGTAGTCCTTGTATTTGTATAATAGCCAAACAGGAAAACCTGCTTAAGAAGGTATAGTATTTTCTTTAAAAAAAGGGGAAAAAATGTCTGATGTGCTTGTTACAGAACATTTGTCCCTGGTGTGCCTTTATATAAATATGCATACTTTGTAAGTATCCATATATGTATGTGTATATATGCTCATATATATAAGTAATATGAATTATTCAGGTATTCTCCTGAAAGTTTGAGGCTGTTGCATGGTAAAATACCCCACGCTATCTGTTGTACTTAAGGCATTCCTTAATCCATCATGCAAATGAATTCATGGCTAGGGCTTCCTGCATTTAATGATAGAACGTCTCCATAATGTATTTTTGTTAATCTTTTTTTT